AACGTAGCTTATACTAGCGGTTGGCATTATTAATTACTGGCTGTTGGCATTATTTATATGTAAAATTATATATTAATTTATTTAGATATCCCTTGTATTTTCCCGAATGCCTTCACCCTAAATTTACAAAAATTACTCTTTTAAAATAATTAATTCAATCAGTTAGGAAGTTTCTGTGACTTATCATTAACATTTCACATATTTCTTTTATTAATTTATTTCATCTAAAATTTAAGTTAAGTTATTAAGAGTATTTTTATCCCCATTTATAATATTTTTTCTTCTTAATTATTAGGTAAAAAACATTTAGCCCTAGTTTTTTTGGCACCACAATGATCGAGATTGACTCTATTAAACAGGTGTTGTCTGACTTGCTTCTTTCAAAAAACATGTCATTCATTCTAATTATATCTTTCAAAAAAGTCATTCCATGTGCGGGCTCTTTTACACAGGTTGGGTGCATGTAGGCCTCTTTCTCTTATTTATTTTATAAAAAAATTCATGCTTTAAGAAAAGTAGTTGTTTTTTTAAGTTTGTAAATTTATATTTAAATCAATACCCCTTCTTTTTTATTTTTTATTTTTATATGTAGTATTTTTTAAAATAGTGGTTTTTTTTAAATATATTATATGTATTTAGTTTTTTTAATAGATTTTTCTAATTAATCTATAATTTTTTCATGTTTTATATAATTAAAATGTATTATTAATAAATAAATAAATAATATTTATTTTTTGATAGTATGTCTGCAATAATGTGTAATATGTTTTTTTTTTTCATTTTATTTATGCAATAATTTTTGTATATGTATTTATTTTAATTTTTATTTGATTAAATAAAAATAATAATTTTAATATACAAAATCATTAAACATAATTGGTTAAATGAACAATATTGCAATATCAAGTATGTTGATTCATATTTGGCTTTCAACTTGTCAAAATATATATTTATTTATCTTTAATGATATTTTTTTATTTGTTATCATAAAAATAATTCTTAAATTAAATATATACATAAATTTTTTTGATTTATACTTAATATTTTTTAAGTTAAAAAACCTGTCAAGAAAGCTTACATGTTTAATTTTCTTGTTGAAAAGGAATATCTACCCCACGACAAAAGCGTAGACCAAATAATTAACGTGTGTCTTGCGGTGTGGTATGCAAAACAAACATTAGGTGGCATCCTGTCTAGGTGGAGAAGGGCTTTACCACTATCTTACTAACAAAAGCGAAGAACACTAATAGCGGAGAAAACCGAAAGTCAGTGGAGTGGAAAAGGGGTTGGCCTTTTCATACAAAACAGTAGAATTGCAGGACAGTATTTGAGATTGGTCGTAGAAGATATGCCAAAACAACATTAGTCATCGCAATGTTCATCATGTTGTATCCATCCATCACTTTAGTTTTCATATTTCCATGGAGGATGAGGTTTTTAAGGTAACAATGTTGTACTTTTCTTGCAATCATTTTGTTTTAGAACACCATGCATTATTACATTAACAAATTGGCCTTTTATGGGCGAAAACCTTGACCAAAGTAATCGTATTGATCTCAAATTCTGTGTCAACATATACCAAACACGAAGTTGACATGAGTTCCCACAAAAGAAAAACAATCGTACTTTATATCATTTTGATAAAATTTAATTATTATCTTGAGATAAAAACAAATAAATATAAAAAAATATTTTAGAGATATTTATTTTATATAACTCTATCTTTGTAATGAAATATGTTTTTATATTTATTGTTTTTAATTTTTTTTATCTTGGAATAGTAACAAAATAATGCCTCACATGTCCATTAATAAAAAATCACTATCAAATTGGTATGCATTGATACCAAAATAAGACCCACAATTCATTAATATAAAACAACCCGACACCATCAGCATCAGCTTTTGTACAGCTGTAGTGTAATCACTAGCGAAGTTCTAATAACCATCCAAATTTCCCAAAATCACCACTAAGCTAGCTATTTTTTTTCCCCACTTATTTCATCTCTATATATTATATTTGTTTTTAACGTCTAATTAAGAAATGACACAAGCATTTGGAGTATCCTCTACACATGAAACATAACAATATGGGTGCATATGAGGATGATAGGCCAGGTAAGCCACAGGCTCAGGATCTTTCTTCTTGTCTTCTTCTGGCTTCTTCGGCGTCTCATCTTTTTTCTTCTCAGGCTCTTTTGCCGGTCCTACTGTAACTATTTCAGTGCAACACAGCTTTCTCAGTTTGGCCACTATGCATACTGGATCAATATCCCCTGTCACTGTCATCTTCTTGTCCTTCATGTCGATGGATACTGTATCCACCCCTTCAAATTTGAATCACGAATTAAACCACTAGTTCTTTTTTAAAAAATATATCATAAATACTTCCAACGTTGATCTTGATTTATTAGATAATTAATGACCATATATGTAGCAATAAATAAATTCAATACCTGAAAGACCAGAGACTATCTTCATGGCTTTTTTCTTGGCTTTCTCATCATGCAACTCCACTTTCAGCACAGCTTTCTGCAACAAAATAAGTTCATGTAAATTTTGTTATGAATCAATATCAAGATGATCAAGAAACAGTAATCACTTGAAATCAATACCAAATAATCTCATAGAAACATTAACCAAGTCAAACTTGAGCTACCAAAACTCACTGAATTATGAAAAAGAAGCAAGATTTTCCTCAAAATAAGTAAATCAACATAAAGAAAAAGAAAAAGGAAAAGAAAAGAACCTGGCTCATGATTCTTCATGCATGGACACAAGTCATCTAAAAGAATACATACATACATACAT